AGATAGATAGATAGATAGATAGATAGATAGATAGATAGATAGATAGATAGATAGATAGATAGATAGATAGGCTGCAGCTGTGCATTTTTTCATTTACAGATGTCTGAGTAATCATAAAAACAGGCACATTCAGCATTTAAACGATATATGGTTTGTTAAAGTCACACTTTCACATTTTTAGCAAGGTGGCATTTAATCTTCAGATAAAACAGTTCTAACATCAGTATGACAAAAGCTTTTCTATTTCAGGTTGACTTATCATCAATATTGAGCCAGCTGCCTCTGTAGTAAAGAGGGTAAAAAAACAAAGGTGCACATTAAGACTTCTATTTGGTTGTGTTCCTTTCTTTATGCTCCCTGCCTTTGAGTAGAGATTAATGTTGCAGCTTCTATACATTTGACATTTAAGATTCAACTTAAAGTTTGGTAAAACATGATTCTATGCTTAGAATGTAAGCCATTAATATTAATTTTTCTTTTATGTCTCTGGAAAATATAAAAAGATGTAAGTTGGAGAATGAGTATTTAGCAGCTTTCAGAAAGCATCATACTCAGATCACAGCAAATTAAAATTAGCACTAAGATTTAGGTTGTTTTTAGGTAATAAAACATAGTACATTTGTATTTTTTATATCTGCACTCCTTTGAGAATTACCTGTGGCCTATTATTCTCCTGGCCGCTCATGATCTTTTCTGGCAACAGTAAGAAGCTCCTGCTCACTACAACTTCCATCTCTAGAAATAAGCTGCAGAAGGTACTGTACAACTCCTAGCATTAGATTGACATTTTCCTGCTTTTGGATCTTTTTCTTTACATTCTTTTGACTTTATACAGCATTGGTCGTTTCTGTATTTGTAAGAATAAAGTCATACTTAACTTGATGTGGGGCAGTTTTTTTCACTGTGACTTTAAAACAACTTTGGCAAAAGTGGTCCAATATCTGAAGAACATGCATACGAATAGGACAGCCAAGTAATAATGTGGTTTATAGCATTTAAACATCCAACAAATGTGCTAATTCAACAGTAAGACACCATAATGAAGGGGTTTTTATTGTAGTTTATTGTCATCTTGAAAAAGGTCAAGTTAATACAAGTTAATCAAGTCAAGTTAATCCATTTAGTGCTCTATAAGTTCACTGCCTATCAGCAAATTTCTATGAAACGATCTGTTACCACAACGAGGCAGCAATTTCCAGAAAAAACGAAATCAAATTTGGAGTCCATCTGTCTAACAAACATACTTTTGTTGTCAGAGTATTAATATGAACAATAGATGTTTCACATTATGAGAAATCTTTGTTGTGTACTTAATTTAGTATCCATATGTCTGATTTCGGTAAAGGACATTTAAAAACATTGGAGTAGGATCTTGTCAATGACTGTTACGGCTGTCGCCGTCATATTTGTGTTTTCCCTTTATTTTCTTTATTTTCCCTCTTTCTCACCTCTACTAAGTAGGCTGCATGGCCCTGTGGAAAGACCCGCCTACTTCCTGGTTTTTGGGGATCTGACTTCAGTCCCATCCATTGGTTCCCTCAGTTCCACCTTCAACCAATGGCTCATCACCACCTGCAATCATCTCCTGCTCATAAGGAAACCTCACCTGTTGATTGAGGCAGCTTGTCACAGCCAGTTGACTTGTGTGCCTCGTGTGAATCAAACATTGTTGGTTAGCAGCTACTTGTTTGTTTAGTGGAGTAGCTTGCTTCATTTTGGTTACCCATTTACGGTTTGTACTTAGCTTGTGTCAAGTATTTTGTTGTGTTTGGCTTATGTGCAATCTTTACTAGCTTGATGCTAGAAAGAGGGTGGAGGTAGGGCTAGAGTCTGGACTGATTGCATCACTGAGTTTCTTCTTTGTTAGTTACATTAGTTGTAGTGGGTGCTGTGCTCTCTTTGTTTTTTAGTAAGAATCCCCTTTTGGTTTAAACCTGTAGTACGGTATAATCCTCCTTTTGAGGATCTCTTTTATTTAACTTTGTTATTTTCACAGCACCCTCACCCACCCTGCTTTTGTTTGTTTATTGCTTGCACCTCTTGTTATCAAAAAAATCATTTTATAAGAACTTACCAGTTTCTGCCTATATGTTTATGCCCCCACAGGGGGCCGTAACAATGACACTTGGGAAAAGTGTCCAATGCACTAAATAAAAACACTTCCTTTACACAAGGATACCAATTGGATAGGAAACTATATCCTGTTTTTGTTTGATATCTGAATATTTATTTTACAACTATTTTAGAGTCTGTCAACATTTCCCATCATAAAGATGTGAGCAAAAACACTTTTTTTGGAGTGGCGGCCTAGTGGTTAGGGCATAGAACTTGGAATCCTGAGGTCCTGAGTTCAACCCCCACTCCCACAGACTGCCACTCTGGGTCTCTGAACCAGACCCTTAACCCCACACTGCTCCCCGGCCACCCCATGATGGCGGCCCACTAAGAAAGGTGAATTTCTCCAATGTGAGATTAATTTCTATTATTAATTATTCACAAACACATTTTTTTTTAGATGGATTATAAATAACAATTTTTGGGTGAAACGCAGTACACACAGAGTGTTAGTGGATTATACAGTGAAGGTGGGGAACTACTAATTAGAGAGAAAAAAAGCATTAATTCAAATGTATAATTCTATCAAACAAATATATTGGCACTGTAAAAAAAAAAATCCACATTATTTGTAAATATTTGCTCACTTAATAAAAATCAAAAAAATCAAAAGTAGTACCAATACTTTTGCAAATTGTTGGAAATACATTTTTCATTTAATGTAATTTAGCAGGATCATTTTATGCCACTGGAAATCTCTCAATCAGTCCCCGTTTAAGGAATGGATACAGGTTCTAAGCTCCATGGCCAGCTATGAGTGGGTCACCTATAGGGTGGCTGGGAGGGAAGACATATTCAATAAGGTGTGGGGCCCATTCCTAGCTCAAACCTTCTACTTATATTTGATTAGATAAACACGATTGCTTTAATAGGTAGACTTTCTAGGGTTTTTTACTTTTTCTTGTCTTTTTTTGTGATCTATGTTATATGTTGTAGGTCTGGCTTGTTATTTACTTTGTGGCTGGACTGCTTTTTTATTTGATCTTTTTTTTATTACTATTATTATTATTGTTATTTTTGCCTTGTTTCATGGTTGTTTAAAAAATAAACTCGACAGTTGCTAATAAGTGCACACAAGATGTTTTTTCTGATCCATGTGACTGTAACAAGATAAGTGCTTTTTCTATATCTGTCAGGCAAAAACATCAATAAAAAAATAATATTTTATCAAAATTAACTTTTATGTAGCTTTCAGCTATGGAGACCTCCAACTCCTGTGGTCCAACGCTAGATGGCAGCATTGGCTCGAGTATATTTTGTCTTTACTGAAGCAGCGACATAATCAGTATGACTCAGGTCATGCATTTTTAATGATTAGCTAAAAATAAACAAGTAAATTAAATAAAATGGAGGCTTTATATTACTTTTCCTTTTTCCTTGGGGGGTTGGATAGTTCGTTAATGCAAAATCGGTGTCAGATTACAGCTAAAATATGCGCATTGTATTTTGTTGAAGTGCCATAAATCAGCATAATATTGTGTGAATAAATAAATAATAATGTCTCTAAGAAAAAAAGCTAAAGCCTGGAGCGCGCACATCCTCCAGCGCCCCCCCTCCCACAACAGCAGACAACTTTATTTCCGGCCGCCTGTCAAACTAACTGCTCTGCTCTCCCGCTGCTCCGTCATTCAGGAAGTCTAGACGAACTGACAGCACTTCGCCAAGTCGCACAGATATCTTCAAAGTCGGACTAAAAGCACCATACCATTCTTCTTTTTTTCTATGTGACTCTTTTTCCAACTCGGGACCGACTTTCATAAAAGGTGAGCGGCTTTTTTTTCCTGTCTTAAATCTTCTCACCGGTTGTCAGTGAAACAGCTCGCGCTCTCAAACTGAACTGACACTTCCTCTCGTGTCAGCGGCTAAGCTACCCTAGCTACATAAAGCGTTAAGAAGTGGATTTTAATAAGCGCTACTCTGGAGTTGGAGATAATTGCCCGTCGATTTGGTTTGGGTTTTTTTGTCTAATCGTGAGATGGTGAGCAGGTAATAACACGCACACACGCAGCAGCATCAGCTCCGTAGGTTTAAAGTGCGTAGCTTTTTAACCGTGTTTGTTATTATCGCTCCCTTGCACCTGCTTGGAATTGTATTAAAAATGTCGAAAATATGTATTGTTTTTACGTAGAACTGAATAGGGAAGAAGCTTTGGTGTTTGCTCCTGTCGGAAGGAGGAGGGGTGGCTACACTGAGCCCACGGGTGACAGGTTGTAGTGGAAGTGTAAAAGCTGAGGAGGAGGGGGGGTGAAAGACGACAATGCGACTGGAGGGTGCGTGAACTTGTCCTGTGTGTAATTTTAGCGCTGTCATGGAAGTGTGTAGCATCAGAAAACACTGTGGTACCTTCTATTGTAGCCTTGTTGTGAGATTTTACTATCACACAAAAAAA